AAATGTTGATCCAGGAAGTGGTATATGTCTGTGCAAGCTTTGGAGGTGTTGATGGAAGCGATTTACTGGATTTATGCTTTGATAATCATAATATTATCCAGATGTAGTTTTTGATTAAAAATTTGATTTTCTCACCTTTTTGCTCAAAATTATACATTTTTATGAAACCTACCTATATTCAAGTGTTAATAAAAAAGAATGCTTTAAGCTAGAATAAAACTGATTTTTTTGTTTAAAAGTAGAGGCTCTGATCTTTATTTTGGTGTATTGCCTATTCAAATATTCACACAGCAAAATATACTGAAGGCCATCAAATTTTAGTGAAAATCATCAAAATCGCTGGCGGTGGCTGGCAACTTTTTTCAAAAATGCTGGCGGGGAAAGAGTTAATAAGGTTAAATTCCAAGCTTTTAATCAGCCACTTGAGGTCCTTTAGGCTACATCTATACTAATCCCAACACATCTTTTTCTCTAGATTTTGCCTTTTATCCACACTGAGAAAGCGTTTTTGTTCTGTGAAAACTGAGCTTTTTGAAGATGCTCACAAGTGGATAAATTTGAAAACCTTTTTTTAGTGTTGTAGTGTAGAATGTGAAAATGCAGGTATTTGAAAACGACGACGCATGTTTAGTCATGTGATACATTTGTACCAACAGATATCTATAGTTATACAAGCATGTGCCTGTTATGTGCCATTGTACAATCTTCATATTACAGTCCTGCGAATATGACAGAAAATGTACTCGCAATTGCTGTCCTGTGGCAGAACATGAGGGCAGTTACATATTAGACTATACAAGGAATAGCGACTGAGAGCGACCAGGACGCACCCGTAGATGGGCAGATATTTTGCTAAATGCTAAAATAATTGTGCCAGAAGAACAGTTTGAGAACTTTATTATGTCTGGTCTCTATGTATCATCACATGATTTTAGTGCTTTCCTATGTTTCAGTTTGGATGAGGAACTTTTGGAAAATTCTCGAAAACGCCAGTGTGGACCGAGAGCATTCTAAAACGAAAACGCTGTTTTCATATGTATCTGTATTATTATAAACATCCTTAGAGACTGGAGTTTGTCATAGGTAAATTACAGCCAAAACAATCTCAACATGAAAAGTCAGCAAAGAATCTGAATACTTATGCACAGGTGGAAATGGACCTTTTCTGCTCACTAGATATTGTAAATATGGTGAATACCCGACTCTACCACTGAGCTGAGACTGGATTGCACTTCATTACTTTTACAATTTGGAGCTGTATGTATGAAGCAGTTCAGAGAAATATTTTAGTCTTAATGTGTCAAACTTTCAAGAATGCCATCATTTTACTATTATTTCTAGACTTGAGAATGAGTGTGATTCATAATGTGTTGACTTTGCTCCTCAGTTAGAGAGGAATCATAATAAATAGATTACTATTTAAGAGTTGCAGGATGGTGTGCATAGAGAACCACACACTATTCACAATAGAAGAATGGAATTATGACTCTGGAATTTGGACTGATGCACATGCCCTGCATTTTACTGATACAGCCAAGATATATCTATAGATAGTATAACTTCAAAGTCATGTGAATATTTCCTATTCGTAAAACTATTAAACATCAGGCAGTGTAAAACTATTCAGAGATGTTATTTTTGGAGTTTCATGCATACGGTCCAGAACACATTTTTTAATACTAGGCATCACATATTTGTTCAGATGTCTAGCCATTTGCACAGCTGGCATCTCAAATAAATGATTTGTGTCAACAATCTGACCTCAAGGAACTGCTTGTCTTCTCCTTTAATGGTGCTCTCTCTCAGCACAGCCTTCATGTCACCGGATGGAGAATCCACACTGAGCAGCCTAAACACACAGAGCCAGAGCACGTCAGCGTGATGTATCAGGCCCGTGCACTTTTTTACTTCTTGCTTAAAGAAGCAGTAAAAATGAAAGTTTTGATAAACCCGTGTTTCAGTGCTGTTCTGGACCCGTGACTTTCATTGCATGGAAAAAACCCTTTGAAACATTCATCAGAATACTGTATCTCCCCGTTTGTGTAACGCAAAAGAAAACAAGTCATACAGGTTTAGAACGACATGACGGTAAGTAAATGCTGACATAACGGTCCATTCTGGGTGAACTATGCATTTAAATATCCTTCCTTGATCACATATGAGTAAAAAGTGAACCCACTCTCCCTTGATTTCTGTGCAGTTTCCTGAGGGTCCGGAGTAGACCACTGATTTGTCATCATGAAACACAATGTACTGGCGACAAAACTTCACATTTTCATTCCTCTCCAAATCCCGCTGAGTCCACTCTGAAAGACAAACTCATGTGTGAGAGGTTATTTATAACGTGTTTATGAATAAAAAAAATAAACCTGAATCTCATACATCTATAGCTCTAAAGTGTTCAATGTGGACTATAAGGCACTAAGTTATTCAAAACATTAGCATTATGAATTCTTGTAAAGCTGCTTTGAAACAATGTGTATTGAAAAAAAAAAGTTATTTGCTGGTATTGTAATATCAGCATGCTACACACAACATGTTTGCTAGATAAACAATGCTTTATCAAATACTGTATACGCAAAATAAACTCCATGTTTTGATATATTTTGTGCTATCTGCCATTTCAATCACCCAGCTAATGATTCTTACGTTTCTTCTTTTTGGCAGACCTGCTGCACCATTTACTATCAATTCAGTCTGTCCATTGAATCGACCTGTGACTAGAAGGGAAGTCTTGATCACAGCAAAGTAGCACAGGAGTCACATTTGCTGCTGATGAGGTTCGGGTTGAATGTAATGCTAGGATTAATGTAAAATAGCTTTGGCATCCTGGAATTTGAATTGTTCATAAAGCAACGATCACACCAGACCACCTGAGGTGTGCAAACCACTAGAGGCTTGTGGGAACCCTGCTCTAGACTTTGCAGGACACCGCAAATGCAAGCTCGTGCAAAGAAATGTTGCAATTTGCTGCATATGCTAGTTGAAGTTCGATGAACTCTAACCTGTGAATTTGAATGAGAACAGGACAAGTGACCAACAGATGATCTCTTGGCTCAATACGAAGACGACAAACTTCAAAGCTGAAGGTTTGCAGTGTTGTGGCAAAGTGGAGTAAATAGTGAACCTCAAAATATTTATTATTATTTGTCCATTTTTGCATTATTTATTAAAACAGAAGCACTGGGGTGTATTCCAGAAAGCAAGGTTAAGTTACCGTCACATATACCCTATCACCACCTAATTGATGGTTGTGCAATCATTTTTCTTTTTCATTTAATCACTGAGAACAAGAGTTATATTGTTTGTTTGATGCTAATTATATAATAAGAAATGTCACATGTATTTTTATTATAGAAATACATTATAGAAAATGCAGATCCACTATGTGTGAGATGACAATAAAATATAATAAATATATTAGAATAAAATAAACATTATCTTGTTATAATAGTGTTTTGTAATTAATATATATTAGTGGTTAAACGGATCGTAGTTGATCCGTACGGACCAAGCCCCACGGTTCGGCACGCATGTGATCCGCGGATTGATTGCAAAATTTAACCATAATAGAGTATACGTTTATTATTTGTTCGTATTTACACAAGCAAGCGAATTTTAAACAATTCCAGAGAGAAAAGGCGAAAGGGAACAGCCGCACACACATGAAGCGCACGAGCACCGAACTGAATCCTCTTCTGAATCCTCTGAACAGACACATACACATGAAATTATGACAAAACACCCATCTCCACAATCATTCAGGTAAACGCAGTCAGTTATATCTCAAGTGAATGAAAACAGCTGAGAAAGAAATCGGATGTGAAGTGTATCATTATATCGGATCCGTGCATCAGGTCTTAAAGGGACAGCGGCCTATAAATACTGCTGCTGTCATTAATGATCATCAAACAACAAAACAGCTGTGATAAAAATCTATATTTAATTTATACAGTGAACACTCCGCAGTGTTATTTTCCCTAATTACTACATTTCTGTATTTGAATACTACCAACGTTATTTTATTTGTAACATATTCTGTTGTATTTATCTGCTTGTAATTTGTGTATTTGTTCTTATTTTTACTGGCTGTTCTCTTGTCTCTTTAATCATGTTTAAACTTTCTTAGTTAATCTAGTAGTATTTGCTCTGGTATCAAAGAAGTACTTCACTTTCAGTAATAAATGGAAAGCAAGTTAAATTGAAATATTTTTCTTTTCTTGCTGATCCGAAAAATGATCCGATCCGTGGGTCAGAAACCGTAATGTGATCCGAACCGTGAGATTTGTGATCCGTTGAACCACTAATATATATCGATAACTATTATATATGACAATAAATATAACACATTAGAATACTATAATATTACCTTATATTACTTATAATAGTGATATATAATTAACATATACAACTAATATATATATATATATGTATTTTGTATATTTGATAACTATATTGTAATCATATATAATATTATAAGGTCACGCATGCACTGATAGCGCTGAAGTAAACTAACCCTGAAACATAACCTACTCCAGAGCAGGTTATGTTCAGAGAGTAAGTGTCTATGGCTACTTACCTTTGTTTCTGGAACCGAAAGCTGAGTTTATCTGCTATCTTACCCCTAAACATACCGAGTATGTCACATAACCTGCTTTCTGCAATACTCCCCTGGAGTGTAAAAACATGTCTGAGGATTGTTTGACACACACAGTGTGACACATGCATAAACAGGCCTTATCCTTTCTCTGCTCAAGAGCAATAACTAAAAGCTAAGACCCATGTATGTGTTTAAGTGATGGTAGATGGTTTAAATCTCAGAGTTTTAACAGTTCGCTTCAAATGAGTTTAATCTGTGCGTTTCAGTAGTTCGTTCAGCATTTCAGTGCTGATGCTGAGTGTAAACCTGTATAGACGTTGCAGTATTGTCCGCCGTATCGTGACGTGATCACCGGTCCCACATCCGCGCGACACAACGCCGGGAACCGACACTGATCCCGGTACAACTGAGCGATCTCCGCCGCCTCCCGGAGCACCTTACACACCACATGGGGACACGGCATAGTAATATACATTAGACATGCAGCCAGACACGAGAACATACACTGAGTACAGCATTCACAGCCACAACATGTACGCTTTTAAAATGATCATCTGCTCTCAGCGCGTGACGCGGAAGTTGTCCGAATAACACGGAGCTGGTTTTCAGCTGTTGAGAATGAACAATCTGCGTTCTGCTGCAGTCTACAAAGACAAATACACACGAAAGGAGGTTGTTCTAAATCATATTTTAGTCATTTGACTGTACCTTTGAGTCCATGACAGCGCAGCGCGAAAACAGTCGGTGGAGAGGAATCCTGCGACTGAACATCATGGAGCTGGGGGCGGGGCACAAGGCCACTGTCCTTCTCTCTCATTGGTCAGATGCGATGACGTGCGCGTTAGATTAGGACTTTGTTTACATCGCATCATACATCGTTCAAGTCATGTCGGATAGATCGTGTTTACGAGTTGAAAGCACATGAACAATCCGTGTATCATTCGATCATTCGTTTTTTTGATTTAATATTGAAAGTAGAAAAATGAGAAAACGGCTCCTTTTTCGTTTTTTTTTG